TTATTTATTTATTTATTTATTTGATTTATATCCCTCCCATCTGGTATATTCTACCACAAGATAAGGGGAGGGGAAGATGTGAGTGTTGATGGTATGGTTCACAAATGAACTAATTCCCATGACTATCTAAGGGGGATTCCCAATAGATGGTAAATACAGGGTCTATAATTATCCTAACTTCACTACTGTGTACCTGATGTTTGCATCGGGGGGGGGGAGGATGGCAGGGGCAGTATAGATCAGGGCTGCAGCAGGAGACAAAGGGCTGGAGTTCCTAATCCAGTTTGAGGTTCTCCCCCACCCACCATTTGGTGAAAATAAAGCTGGCTCTTAAGGCAAACCACACAAATAATGTCACATACATTTTGGCCATGTGCATTTTTGAAACAGGCCAGAGCTCTTATAAACCACTTGTGGTGACAGTGCACATGTTTGTTTAAATCCACATATACTCCTTCATGTATAAAGTAGCATGGTTGGGACCCAATTTTTAAAGCAAAGGAATTTGGGGTATGTGCTCAGTCCTTTTCTTAGTCACAGGAATGCTGTTCTGTGTGGGTAAGCATGTATGTATTATATAGGTATTAGGGTTAATTCAGACTTGAGACATGGCAGATGCATGTGCACAGGCACTTTTCATTATCCAGTTTTTCAGCCAATGGCTTTCTCCTTCACTCTAGAGAGCACAAAGATGAACAGTAATCTCATTGACTGTTCAAAGTGTTAATTCAGCTCCTACTTGCTGTGAAGTAGATGTGAGGCTATGTACACAGTGGTGACTTTCTGGACATGCTTGATCCTGTTGTAGAATGCCTGCTTCTCTGTGTGAGGTTTTAAAATAAAACAGACAGAATATTGTACTTAGAAGTGAGAGGACCAGTTGACTGAGTGCTGAATATACTGAATGACCAGGGCTGGCCCTTCCATTTAGCAAAATTAAGGCATCTGCTTCAGGTCACAGCTCGTGGGGAGGCAGTAGTGGTAACTACCTAGCTAGTCCTCTTTCCCCTTCTCTTGATGGACAGACTTGTGTATTTCACTCAGCTCTGTCATGTTACCTTCACACCATATGGCTGCTATGAGATATGGAGGAATATCCTGCAGCAGCAGATTTGATTGAACTACTAGTCCAGTTAGGTTGTGTAGGTGAAATCGTGGAGTGCCATAATGTCCTTCACCTCAAGCAGTAAACTATCTTGGGTCAGCCCTGTTAATTGCATAGGCAAGGGTATGTGTCTGCTATTCCATTCTCTGTACATTTGAATGTTCAGTGGATTTCGGGGAGAGAGGCAAAGCCCAATCATGTAATAATGTGACTACACTGCATGAGAAATGTGAATTAATTTGCCTTCTCTCACTGTGAAGTCCAACTGGGGCATTTGTTTCTGTCAGAAATAAGTGGCCACACAAGCAGAGGAGGAAAAAAAGCTTTCTACTTGTAGTTGCATTTCAAGTACCATAGGCGCTGCAGTTCAAAGTAACTACCTTTAGAAGGCTTTCCTTCTTCCCTATAACGTCTGTATCATATCTTGCTGGTTCCTGAAGGTGTTAAGAATTAAATAAATGATTATACACGACTGTGGGGGCAGGAACTATTAAAAAAAGAAGTGGGGGCTTAGGGGAGCAGAGGCTTTGGGGAGAGAGGTGAGTATTCGCACTGCTTTTGTGTGTGCGTGCATGCCAACTCCCTCTCCCCCTTTTGCCCCCCTTTTCCTGCTCACACACAGACACCACTGCCCACTCTTTTTCATTGTCCCCGTCTCTCATGCTCACTTTCTTTTCCACCAGCTAGTGCTTCTCCTTTTACTTTTTCTCCGCTCTTCCTCTGCAGACAAGCTCCCCCTATTTGCACAGAAAAATGCCATTTCAGATCCTTCCAGCAAGAAAAATTAGGAGACAAGAGAGAAAAAAGTCATTTTGAGAGCAAAAAAGCCTGGACAAATTCAATTCAGCCTTTGTAGGCAGGAAAAATTAATTTCAGTTTGCCTGTTTTATAAGTGGAGCAAATCCCAAGATATTTGATGTTGTAGTTGGGCTCTCAGACAAGAAATTACCAGATATTTGGCAGCATCTCAGCAATAGGTGTGTGGGAAGAGGAGAGGGCCTGAAACATACAGCAACAGGTCCAATATTTGAGTATGTATTTTCATTCACAAGCAAAGAATTCCCCTTGTTAAAATAGTACACCCCTTTTTTTCTGTTGGTATCTACCGTGGGAGAATTTTAAATGCAAATAGTAGAAAGATTTATTGAATGATTGCAGCTAAAAGGGATCAGAATGTTGGTATATACTTTGGAGATTTGCTTAAAGAAAAGTAAGTAAAAGCAAGACACTCTAGGAAAAACTGGCTTAAATCATTTCCAAGCATACGTCTTGAAGGTGTCTTTTCTTGCTTTTCTGCTGGAGTGTGTGTTGAAGGAAAAGATGCTGTTTTCTGGTGTTTAATTAGCGGGATTCTCATGAACTGATTTGATTTGAGATGAAACAACTTTGCCATCAACATATTCTTCCACAATTGTCTTAACCTTCCTGGTTTTTGTCGAGTCTGGAAATTAGATAAGCAAATATAACATTGTCAGGCAGATAATCAAGAACATATCCTTGAGGTGCATGCGATACTCTGGTTTTAGAAAACTGTGTTACTATAAAACACCCAAGTTAGAGACTTACACATGTGACAAAGTGAATACTCTGGTTTTAGAAAGTTAGAGACTTACACATGTGACAAAGTGAGATGGTAGCAGATCTACATGTGAGAACTGGGTCACTGTCTGTTAGCACGGGGGGCTGGCACTTGTTTGAAGTGCAGTGTGAGGATGGAATCTGATTTTCCCCCCATCAATATTTCTCTTCCCAAAATTTACTTCTCTATTTTTCTTTTTCTTATGGGAGTAGGTCTATGGAGGCAAAAAAAAAACCCAAGCTCCTGGAGCATTTTTGCTGTCCTATCACACAACTGATTCTGCCCATTAAATCTCTCCATCTTTCCCAATGCCATTTTATATGGGACTAAGATTATAAATCTTATCTTTTTGCAGCAAGATTTTGCTGTGCAATTCCCTCTGACCAACAAGAAATTCTCACAGGAAATCATGCAGGACATTTTGTGGTCCTTTTTTCTCCCTGTAAGAAATGCTGAGCTGTGCAGTATTATTACAATTCCTACACAGAATGGCACCTTTTGTGTAGGGTTCACTGAAAAGGCCACTAGACCAAAAAAAAAAAAAAAAAAAAAA